GACAAGTTTATTTGAAAATGAAAACACTTTTCTTCTTTGCCATTTTCCTTGTTAATTTCCCTATAAAATCACCCACTAATATATAGAAAACATTCTTGGTGACGAAACGATAAACATGCCGTTAAAATAGAACGCCATTTGTGGCTGGGAAAATTCGGGTAAATTAGGTGTTAGGTGTGGAAAAGGGCAAAAAGAATCACAGAGTCCGAGTGCGAGTCCGAAAACACTTTATTAAATGCGATATGAGAGAGTGTGGCAAGCCCATAGACATGTGGCAAGCGTTGGCGTTTCTCCGCCTAGCTTTCCGACTTGCTGGCTGGCTGCCTTTTTTTTCCCGCCCCCCTAGCTTGATTGCATAATCAGTAATTTGATTAAATAAATGATTAAATAAAATTGATGGATTGCCGGCGGCCACCGCCAGACCCACCACAAACACCTTTTATTTTTTCCCCCCACAAGCACACAAAGAGCTATGAAAAACCTCAGCGTTCCCGTCGACCCTCATTAATTTCAGCTCTCGCTTCTGGTTTTATCTTCGCTTTGCACATTGATTAATTCGATTGTTGATTCAATTAATTTCACCTCACCATGGCCACACTGCGTATGCGTAATATCGTATATGGTATATATATATATCCCGCCAAGAATCAGGCATATACTATCATCTATTGAGAGTTTTCTTTTTCAAAGTGCACACGGGTTAATGAGGTGCTAATTGGATTACCTCCTGCAAATATGAATTATTCCCCAATAAATCTCACTCTTAGACAAATTTATTCCCATAAATCAAGTCACAGGGGGAAGGGTTTTCAACTTTAAATAATAATATTTGAAAACCCATAACTTGGCTTTCAATATGCTTGCCCAACTATGAATGCAATTTCCTAATACCTTACGCTTGCTTGGACTTATTAATTAACTTAATCAGTGACTTAGTCTGGCCTTGTCCTGGCCATTTTGTAATGTGGAAAACACTTTTTGGCTTATTATTTGGCCTAACTATTGAGTTTGCTCAACTGAGAGAGTGAAATTCCCAACTATATTTGCTTTTAAGTTAAAGTTTTCATATTTCCAAACTAGATTTGCCTCTACAAAAGCAAAAAGTCCTCCTCTATTCCTGAAAACAAGCCTCCCTCCCTCCCGCTTAACCTCTAACCTATCTAATAATATATTTTTCTCCTAGAAAAAACCCTTTTGCCTATAATTTCACCCCACTAGCCATTTGCCATTAGCTGGAAAACCGCGTTGCTTGTACCACTCCTTCTCTTACTCCCCCTCTCCTTTAAAACCAAACGAGCTTTCTTAGTGCCAATCTAAATCCCAATCTCAGCGAGACTGCTCCCTGACGCAAAAGGGAAACCCAACCTGTTGCTAACCAGGCTCCTCTAGAGGATCCGCACTGAAACCGCACTGCTTTCCGTTTTCCCTTTTCCTCTACATTTCCACTTTTCAAGCATTGTTGTTCGGCTGCTTCGCATCAAAAGGAAAACCCAGCGAATTCCCTTTCCTCCCTTTCCCTTGCCTCTTCACATTTTTTCACTTGGCTGATGTTTTCTTTTCATTGGCATTTGCTGAGCCGTGTAATAATTGCCACACTGCATACCTCCGAGGAGGTGCCCTTACGAGAACTTAAACACGTTCACCGCAGCAACGGGTGCAGGCAGAGAAAATGTGTGTACTAAGCTTAATATTTCATTGAAAGGCAGGAAGAACAGTGATTAATGTACAAGGTAATCGGATTAACAAGCTTGCTTTTAGGGGAGAAACATAGTTTCTACTCAAGGCTTGTGTTTCCCTACATTTCCCTCTCTAGACTTTCCAGTGAAAGCATACAAAAACGTAGCTATAATTAGGCCCATCCAAAACATAGAAAGTTCAGGGCTTTTTCTGTTCCTTATATGAAGACCTGCCTCATGTCCTTGCCTAGGCCTGTAATATTCTTGCCACCTACAAGCCCATGCCCTTAGATGTCAATGAACCTGGAACCTAGAACCTGGAACCCAGAACCTGAAAACTGGAATCTATAGCTTCTTCCAGATTCCTCCTATGACAGCATCAATGTTGTTTACAATCTCAAGAGCCTCCACCTCCACCTCCCCCTTTCCCTTTCTCTTTCCCCACCCGAAAAGAAAGCAACTTGTGCCACGCGCTGCTCAGTTTCCGATGGCCGTGTGGAAGCTCCTCTTAGCGACACTAAATCTGGATTCAATATGTTGTCGGTTTAACATATTTCATCTTTGGTCAGCCTCGTTTGCATAGTGAGCGCGTGTGTGTGTTGGTGTGTGGGTGTGGGCAAACAACGTGTTGTGCCAATATTTACTAGGCCCCTAGGCTTGCTCTGCCATACTATCTACACTCTCTCACTGAGAAAAACAAAAAGGAAAAGCGGAAAACACAAACATAAGGTTGGGTAAGAAAAAAGAACGAAAAAAATTTATTGAAATTTCGCCCTTCGCTTGGCCCTGTTTGTTAGGGAATTAAATTTAGGCGATTGTATTACCAAGGACAGGCCATTTTCGGGTCTAAAGTTACACATTATTGGCCAGACTTTGATTGGTAATGAGATCACAAACTTTGATTTTGATTGAATTGATTTTGAGCCACCGTTTAAACTGCCCATCCTTGGATCTCTATCTCTATCTCTCTGTCAGTTCCAGCAATTAGTTTGATTAACCAAAGGCAGGCAGGCAGGCAGACAGGCAGGCAGGGAAATCTATCAAATTTTCCCATCTAACATCACCAACAGTCAGTTATTAGCAAGTACATTATGGCTAATGGTGGAAACGACCTTAATAACTCTCCGCCTTTTCCAGGAGGCTCCCCGTATTAATGCCCAGATTATAACCACTTCAAGCCTCCGCAAGTGCACTTTCCACTTTCCACACTCAATCAGAAGGGGCGCCCAAGGAAAATCCATGGGGAAAAACAACAACAAAAGAAACCGAAAAAGACAAACTTTGGCTGTAAAGCATTTAAAAAATTAATTGCAACCTTTTTTTTCTCCCCGGCAATGGCCGATAAACCTTTCGCCGGGTTTCATAAACAACCAACCGGGCCAAGAAGTCATTAAAATCATGATTAGCAGGGAGCCACAGGTGCCATTAAGTGGACCCCAAGTGGAAAATAAAGGCAAAGGCAGAGGGAAAGCAAAGGGAAAGCAAAGGAAAAGCTAAGCGGAAAGCAGTGAAAGGGTGGCGAAAGGGTGGCGGGCGGTACACAGGGATCACAGGGAGCTTTGTTTGTTTGCCGCTCGACTGCGTGCAAATTTGGCTGGCATAAAAAAAGTGGCCAACTGACCGACCACAAAACCGAACACAGGGATCTTAATGTTTTTCTTTCAATAATTTGGCCAAAAAAAAAAAAAAGAAGGAAAGAAAGGCGAGGGCATGCGAACTCGCACGGTGCAAGGTCACAACAAAAGGGTTTCGTTTCGGCCATCCGATTTGGCTTCTCGACATTCGCCTTTGTGTGCCTGCTGCTGCTGCTGCTGCTGCTGCTGCTGCTGCATTTTCCCGGGGCCTTTTCCTCAGAGCCTTTGCCCTCTTTTGTATTTTGTTTTTGTTCGCAGGTCAAAACTCAAAAGGTTTTCCATGTTATACGGCATTTATTATGTGTGGTGGCAGTGTGGCAATGTGGCAGGCAGGGTCTGTCCGGCACTGATAAGCCTGCCAACCGATTTATGCCTTTTTGCAATTTGGTGCAGCATCAACGGGAATCGATTTCATGTCGGCCTAATTATGTGGAAAGAATCTTCAGCGACAATTAGCCAAGTAAAGGAAAGCCGACGGCGGCTTAAAGAAAATTCGAATTTTATTAGATTTTTCCTTCTCCTTCATAGAAAGCATCTCCTTTCTAGACTCATCTTGACTCATCGAATGAAAGCCATTTCTCAAGGCCCTAACTGAGAGCTCTCTTCATGGGTAGTTTTCCCTAATGGAGATGAGACTTTTCCCCCCCAAAAAGATCCTTTAATGCTTACACATGAATGGCTGCACATAGAATGTAAATGGGAAAAACCAATGAATTTACTGTCAGTGCAGCAATTTTCCAATTTTCACAGCCTCTGACTTCACTTCCTCCCTTCCGCCCGCCGTTCTCTCAGCTAAGCACATTAAATATAATTTTAATAGTTTTCCGACGCTGTTAATTGCCAGTTGGACTTGAAAATCAATGTGGCCGCCAGCAAGGGGAAACTGTCTGCTGATGGGAAAGTCGCCGGAGGACAGCTATTGGACACTTTGGGACACTGCTTAAAATGGACAGTCATTTTAAGTCACAGAAAATTTCAGTTTTCAGTTTTCAGTTTTCAAAATTTCCACAACAAAAGCATCGCTTATCTTGCCAAGTTTTTTAGGTTTTTCCTTTTTTCACACAAGTCTTTCAAATGTTTCATAGACAGTTTTAACAGTTTTCACAGTTTTCCTTCATTTTTTCTTCTCTCTTTCAAGAAACTACCTTCCTGTTGCCAACCAAAGTCGGGCCAAAGTGCAAGTTACTACTACTACTACTACAGCCTGACAAGTTTCCCCAACTAGAAGTGTTTTTCATATCAATTTTTGTTACTCATTTTATGCAACTTTAAGCTGTTTTCCTCCCAGCGTTGACTTCGAAAAACTTTCCTTTGCCTTCTTATAAGATCCACAAAACTATGCGGGTCGAAGGAAATGCTTTTGAAATTTTTCAATATTTTTTTCACTTTCCAGAGTTGGGGAGGAGAACCTTCCCTTTAAGGGGGTGGAGAGAAAACTTGTTTATCAGAAAGAACTAAGACACAGAAACATTATCATAATCTATGGCACATTATTTCTGTGCTATTTCCTAGGCCTTTGACCATCGAAAACAGTTTTCCTTTTGATTTGGCCAAAAGAATTCGTTGGCTTGTTTATGCCTTCAAGGGCCAGCGATAAATTTTTGCCATTGTTTGGCTGTCAGCTTTGAGTTTCCCGGGCGTTTTTACTTCTAGCAAAAAAAAAAACTAACCAAAGAAAAGCGATATTTACCTGATGAATTCCTGGCATTCGGAAAGTTTTTCTATTTATTTTTTTCGCTTGAGTTTTTATGGTCACAAAGCACAGAAACAAAAATGTGGAAAAAAATGTTTTGTTTTTTTTTTTGAGAATTTTTAGAATTTTTGAGAATTTTCAGAATTTTTCATATGTTTTTTTAAGGCTTTTCAAGATGTTGAAACGTCTGTGGCACATTTGCTTGGCCCGAAACAACACAACGCTTTTCGCTTTTCAATTTTCAATTTTCAATTTAGCCAGCCGGAATTGAGTTTTGGAAAACTGTCTCTTTATAGCCTCCGGCTTTTCCTTCTCAGGGCTGTGTGTTCGCCTTAAAAAACCCGCAACGACTGAATCAAAACAAACAAATTTCTTTAGTTTTATTCCAAAAAGTGTTGGCGGATATTTCGGCAGCGGCTTGCTTGCCCGCCGCTCGTCGTCGCTCGACGCTCAACGCTCGGGAAAGGCCTCGGTAAAGACCTCGATGGAGTGTTCCCAGCTGCTGGATATCCGCCGCTCTTTTTATCCGCCAGCCTTGAGTTTCAGTTTCCCATCCAACATTTATCCGCGCGTCTGCGCTCTTCCCTTTTTCCCTTTTTAGCTTGGTCTCGCTTTTCTGTTTACATGGCCCCTTGCTTGACTTTTCTTGTTTTTCCTGACGTTCTCTAGCTGTGTGTTGTTGTTATTGTTATTGCGCTGCTCGGCGGCACACCGGCATTGTTGCTTTTCCTAAGCGTTTTTTAATCTCTTAGCGCCGGGGCTGGCTTTGTTTTTGAATTTTTGGAATTTGGAAGCGAGGCGCGCGCTGTGCTCTCAGCTGTTTGCCAGTCTCAAGGTGTTTGACACTTAGGGGCACCTAACCACTCCTCTCCTCCGAAACAGAACTCTCCTCCTAACTTGGAACAGCCGCCTTAACCGCATCCTTAGTCAGTCACTCCAAGGAGTCAGTATCCTTTCACACTTCCACATGTCCTGCAGACGAATGAAGGATGCTCTTACTCCGGGGAAAATGGATAAAAGAAAAGGTTTCCCTTGATGACTGGAACACAACTTTATCAAACATTTCAGTTTTTCTCATTATTTAATAATAATTTTAATCCAAAACGAATTTTCCATTTTCCGAAACAAACTACAGGCAATGTGCCATTTTTTTTCAGGGCATTCGAGGAAAATTGGTTTTATGATTTAAGCCACGCGGTTGGGTTTTTTATGCTTTTGATTTTTGGTTCATTGACTTGCGCCCAGCGAAATGGGAAAGTCATTAACTTTGTTGTTTGTTGTTGCTTTTTTGGCGGTGGCGCGCGGAGCCCATGGAAATGCAATTTCCTTATCAGTTTTTTGTATTTTTTGTATTTTTTTGGCCAGGCCAAGCTCTTTGTGCCAGGTCGCAGGTTCTTTTTAATTTCATTGCATACGGCTGGTTTATTTTCGGGAGATTTCTATTGAATCCTGATTCGATTTGGCACTGATTGATGCTTTGTTGCGACTCACCTAACAGCCACCCCACCACCCCCCACCACACCCCCTCTGCTCAGGTTAACAATTAGAAGTTCAATGACCCTCCAACCGTTGTCGTCGTCGTCTGCTATTAAGTTCCTCCACTTCAGGATCCTTTTTCGGCTTAGACAAAAAGGGGAAATTGACTTCCTTGTCATATTTCCGACCTGCTACTTGCTACTTGCTACTTGCGAGCTTATCGTTGCTTAGGTTGCCCCATCGAAGGCACTCGAGGACTCGCTCAGGCACTCGATTAGATCCCAGTTTATGAGTGGCCGCCTGCCGGAATCAATAAGCCCAGCCCATTCACCCGGCTCAGCTTGTCGGCTAAGTGGGCGTCGGAGTGCACTGGGAGAAAAGTTATAGGAAAATCTCTTTCTAACCCTCATTTCTTCACAGTTTTCTCAGTTTTTTCTCTCAGTGCTGTGGCCAAGAAACATATTGAATTGAAAACACATGAAAAGTCCCCACTCCAGCTGTGTGTTTCTTTTATAATCAAATTGGAAACTGTAGCTTTCCCAAAGATATCTGGCTACTTGAAAATTCCCGAACACGTCCCACTGTCAACTACTTGTCCTTCCCTCTGATTTCGCCCTTGGGGGAACGACTCTCTCTCTCTCTCATATGCTTTGAAATTCAAAGTTGCAGTTGCATCTGCAATTTGCATCGCTGCAATGCTGCAGAGCTGCATTGCTGTTTGCCGCCTGGTGGCATTATAATTGCATTTTTGCGCTGCCGCCTGGGGCATCAGCAGTACAGTCAGGAAGTCTTCCCAGGACACTAGGCAGTTTCCAGTCACAAACGAAGTTTGAGTGGGGGAAAGTATGCGGACGTGGAAATACCAGAGGAAAACCAAAAGAAAATTAGGAAAATAGAAGATCAAAGTGGGGTCAAAGCAAAGCAAGTTCAAGAAATGTTAGAAAAAGGAAAGGAAAATCTTCCAAAAAAAAGAGGTTTAGATGTAGTCCATCATACCCTCCTCTTAACTCTACCACTAATGGGTAGCTTTGCCTGCAAGACGCTTGATTTCAATTTCATAGAATTTGGTCAGCACAAAGGCTCAGTCTCCGTCTCCTTCTCCGACTCCTGCTCCGACTTCTGCTCCATCTCCTGTTCCAGCTTTGAGTGATTGATATGCCTGCGGGGCTTCGCTGGCGTTTCTCTCGGAGAATTGTGACAATCGTGGCTGTACCCACACGCCCTACCCCTGCCCTGTAGGCTCCCTCAAGTGTGGCTCCCTTCTGGCCAAGGTGTCGGTTAATCCGATTGGAAAATGTACACACACTCAAAGAGACATCGCAATTTCCATTGCTTTCCAATCCCCTGCCAAGTGCCGAAGCACTTGCTGCAAGCACCTTAATGCCATATCTCAGCTTGGCTTTAAATGTTAAATTATCGGTTATCTATATACCGATATATACCCCCCTCTCTTATTACCCCTCCCTCCACCCCAATCATCAGCTGTTTCTGCTTATTTACTGGCCATTCGGCTTATTGCGGATTCGGGACAATCATTTAACAGTCCTTATGAGCTGCAGGATTAATATTAATATCCCGCCACAGCATTAATATTTATATTTATTTATCAATTGGCAGTGGAGGAGTGGCGGAGCTTAATCAAATTGCCGGAAATTTAAAGTTAAATATTAATGGAAAACTGTAAATTCCGGGAAATTGATCGATTTTCAAAGGGAAAACTCTTCTTTGATTACTTTTCAAGATCAGAAAAAACTATTTATGAAATTCTAGCAATCACAGAGAGAGAGAGAGAGAGAGAGAGAAAGCTGTGCTTGGGACAGGCCACAGGCCACATGCCACGTTGCCTACTTTTCGGCGGCATTTCTCGTTTCCTGCCTTGTCATTTGAACTTTCGCTCACTTTTAAGAAGAACTAAGTTAATCAGCTTGGAATATTTCCATGAAAAACATCAAATAAGTTTTTACTTTACGCAAAATATTCATTTTGATAAACCTTAAGCATATGAAAACTCCGACTTTTCCTTCTTTTCTCACACCCCCCATATCTAACCCTTATTTATTCTTCAATCACTTCCCCTTCCCCAAATCAAACTTCTACCCCTCGGGTGCTGAGACCGGAAGTGGCAGAATATCTGCTCACAATGCGTGTATTTGTCGTATTGGAATTCCTTTGACAACCAACAAACAAGAACCCTTCCCCCATAGCCTGCTTGCTTTCCTTCTTACTTTCTTCTTCTCCTTCCACCCTGTTTACCTGACTTTGAGAGAGTGCGGAACCACACCACACCACCCCCCTTTCATACAACCTCCTGGGGGCATTTATAGGGTGTTGGCTTCAGTGTGTGTGAGTGCCGCCTTACAAATTGAATTCAACATATTTGCTTTAAATGCCCTTTATCCCGCTTCGATATGCTACCCATTACTCTTCTGGGGTTATGGCCCAGCCTTCGGGGCTTGCTTCGATCGATTCATATTTCTTATACATCCGATATATATATATATATACATATATCTTCTACCCATACGTTAGATAAACCATTTCTTAAGTCATTTTTAGATTAAACTAAAGATATAGCTTGAAAAACCTATCAAAACTGCGGTATTTCCCTCTTCGATTTTTGATTTTCCTTCACATTTCTTCACATTAACCCCATCATCGCCCCCCTAACGGGCGTGGCTGTTCGTGTGGGACAGATTAGCGCTTAAATCATGATTACCACAGCAGTGGCAGTAATTAGGAGACGCTAAACGGAGCATGGAGTGGGTGTGCTATACATAAATACTCTCAAGATTGCAGTACATCAGAGCTCCCGGCCACAAGGAAATTCCTCGGGAAATGTGGAAATGGGAGGGCTGGGAAAGTGAACGATGCCAGCAATTTGCTATTAGTTATCTCGGCTATTGTTATGGGTGTGTGTGTGTTGGTGTGTGTGTGTGTGGTCTCGTTATGCATTTGCTTATGCTGTGTGCGTGCCAATATCCCACCGAGGACCACAAGCACAACTCCACATGGGACCAACTCCCCCAACCCCCAAACCTGCTCCCTCCCCCGACACACACTTACAAATTATATAGACGCCATACGAATTTGTCTGGCAGAAAAGAGTGGCAAGGAGAGGGGGGCAAGAGGAGCGAAGAGATGGGGCCTTTTGCTTCCGCTTTCACGTAATTTCCCCCCGCGGCGGAAAACTCTCTCTCTACTGCAGTGAAAAATGCAACTTTGTGGTCGGTAAAAATAAATAAATATCTCCGAGATAAGCAAGTGATTCATGGCCATGGCTATGGCTATGGCTATGACTGCCTCTGTGCGTGGTTACTCGCAGGCGGAAACTATAGAAACGATTCTACAAATCTCTCAATTAGATTAACTTTTATACAATTCGGATTATATACCTCGATTCCCTCATCCTGATTTTGTAAAGTTTACAAAAATCAGTTTTTGGGAAGAGAAAATAAGAGGAAGTGATCGTATATCTCATAGAAAATGCAGAAGCTGATCGATCCTGATTTTTAGCCCCAAATGTAAGTATTTTTCCCATAACTAAGCAAATAATGATCGGAATATAGAATGCCATACATCGATGAACTCCTAATTAAAATTCTAATAAAACTGTATTCACAGTTTAAAAAGTGAAATTTTAGCCATTTTTTGCGAAATTTGATGATGTTACCCCTTATCAAAAAGGACAAAACGTCGTTTCTCCTAATTTCCCCCAAAATACTACAGGTTTATGCCCATAACTCAGCCAATATTGGTCTGAATATGGAATGTTATAGCTCGTTGAGCTCATAATTTGATTGCCAACAAAACTGCATTCCCAGTTTGAAAAGTAAAAATTTAGCTAATTTTCGTAAATTTTG